CAATGGGCACAACTGGTGCCTGAGCTGGTGCTGCTGGAGCGTCCACAACTAGGACCTGATCCTGAACTAGGGCGGTTGGTGGATCTACAGGTGATGTCCTAGCTGCTGTGCGGGCTACACCTCTGCCCCTACTGCGACCACGACTACGTCCTCGGCCTCTAGTGGCCACAACTGGTGGCACTGGTAGTCGTCCATCTTGACCGGTAGCGCGTGTCCGCACCATCTGTGAGAGAATAGAATAACAGAAGTTTAGTAATCGAATTAACAAATTCGCACGACAAGAGTTTCAAGAATATGAAGTTCTCCTAAAGATTTTGCAGCCTCTCGAGGATAAATACAGACGTCTCCGTACCGATTCGCGACACTCTACTAAACCTTCTCATGACTCGTGAGACCTATGTAACCTAGGATCTGATACCAACTTGTCACGACCCTAAACCTGGACCCGGTCTTGATGGTGCCTCTCGTGAAGATAATGCCAGCCGGCATTTTCCACATTCTAGTTTTTAAGCAATTAAACAATAAAAATTAAGTATGAAACATAATAAATAATCCCAAAGTAAGCAGTGAACATTACAGTTGCGGAATAAAACCCAACACAGCCCGATATCGGGGTGTCACCAGTCATGAGCATCTATCAATTCTAGTACAAGTCTGAAAGTCTACAAAACTATTACAAAGTCACTAATAGGGGAAAATAAATGAGATAATGAGGGGGAGAAACACGGGACTGCGGACGCCAAGCAGCTACCTCGTGAACTCCGAAATCTGCCGGGAGCTCTCAACTCTTGCTAGCAGGATCAGCAACGGCTAAATCTGCACACGGGGTGCAGGGAGTAAACTGAGTACTCCAACTCAGTGAGTAATAATCATAAATAAAGACTGAAAGCAAAAAATCACGTAAGGCACATTATAGACTATAAGGAAGCGGTAAAAGCCGGTAAGATAGTGAAGCATTAAAGATGTGCAAAATTACTGAGTTCCATTTAAAACTTCATAAAAATGCCTCTTTAACAATTTAAGCAAGCAAATGACAAGCAGATAGGAAAGATAAACACATAAAGGATCGCCCCCGGGCAATATCACAGAACAACACCAGCCCCTCGGGCTATCTCTCACATCACAATGGGTACCCGTGCTCACTGCGGGTGTGCGGACTACTAGAGGGGCCCCTTTCGGCCCAAGCGCAATATCAAGCCATTTCGTGGCATCATCCCTAGGCCCTCGGCCTCATATAAACAAGCCACATCGTGGCGTACAGATCTCAGGACCTCGGCCTCATAATCATAATCAATGTTTCCTCATAACATAGGCCCTCGGCCTTACTCAGTCAGAATCTCATAGCCAATCGGGCAATTGTAAAATATAGTGCTCAGCCCAAAATATCATTTAAAGTGTCATTTAAATGTTAAAGCAGAGTAAACATGGCTGACTTATGAAAAACAAAAGATTATAGTATGACTGAGTTCAAGTATAAAGTCAAATAGTGAGGAAATATCAATAAAAATCCACTAAGGGTTCAAATAGTTGGACTAGGCCCAAATATGGCATTCAGCCCAAAACATGATGGTAACAATTAGATTTCAGTCAAATACGCGGTAAAATAGTCATTTGGGACGGACTAAGTCACGATCCCCAATAGTGCACGATCCCACGCTCGTCATCTAGCGTGTGCGTCACCTCAATATAGCACAACGATGTGCAATCCAGGGTTCATACCCTCATGACATCATTTACAATCATTACTCACCTCAATCTGGTCCAAACTCTAGCCCGCGACGCCTTTGCCCCTCGAATCGGCCTCTATTCGCGTCGAATCTATCCAAAATCAGAATCACAACGTCAAAATATGCAAAGGGAACGAAGCCCAAGCGAAAATAATCAATTTGCAATATAAATCCCGAAATTACCAAAACCCGACCCTCGGGCCCATATCTCGGAATTCGATAAAATTCACATCAATAGATTCCTCATCTCCCCACGAGTTCATACATATCAAAGTACCAAAATCCGACCACAAATGGTCCCTCAAATCCTCAAGTCTAAGTCTCCAATACCAAGCCCTAGTTTTCCCCAATTTTAACCCTTAATTCCATTAATTATAGCTCTAATCCATGAAATAATACCATAGAAACGAGTTTTAGGTCCAAAATCCTTACCTCAATGAAGTTCCCTTGAAATCCTTCTTCAAAATCATCCAAAAAGCTCCAAAGCCAACTTAGAAATGATGGAATAGCTCAAAAATCGTGAAGGAAACAATTTATATGTTCTGGCCCAGGGATTTCACATCTGCGGCCAAATTCTCGCTTCTGCGGTACTGCTTCTGCAGTCAAGACCACCACATCTGTGGTCCTCACTTAAATCCTCATTTTCGCATCTGCGATTCACTATCCGCACCTGCGCCATCGCAGGTGCGGTTCTCCAACCGCTTCTGTGGTTTCTGCCTCCCTTACCTTCTTCCGCTTCTGCGGTATTCTTCATCGCATCTGCGGCATCGCACCTGCGGTCACCAATCTGCAGGTGCGGAAACACCAGAAGCAGAAAATCTGCAGCTTTACCAAAAATTCCCACTCTCTGTCAACCATCCGAAATCACCTCGAGACCCCTCGGGACCTCAACCAAAAGCACAAACATATCCCAAAACCTTATTCAAACTTATACCGATCTTCAAAACACCTCAAACAATATTGAATCAACCAAAACACATCGGATTCAAGCCTAAGTTTCCAAAAATCTTACGAATTTCGCTTTTGATCAAAAACCCAACCAAACCACGTCCGAATGACCTGAAATTTTGCACACACATCCCAAATGACACAACGAAACTAATGCAACTCTCGGAATTCCATTCTGATTCCTATATCAAAATCTCACCCATCAACCGAAAATCGCCAAAATACCAACTTCGCCAATTCAAACCTAAATCTACTTCGGACCTCCAAAATACATTCCGATCACTCTCCTAAGTCCCAAATCACCTCCTGAAGCTATTCGAACCATCGGAACTCACATCCGAGCCCTCAAACACATAAGTCAACATTCGGTTGACTTTTTCCAACTTAAGCTTCCTCAAAAGAGACTAAGTGTCTCAAACCTTACCTAATCCTTTCCGAACCCGAGCCAACCAAGCTGATCACATATAGAACCAATAGACAAAGAACTAAGAAGCAGAAATGGGGGAAACAGAGTGGTAACTCATGAGACGACTGGCCGGATCGTCACAATTCATGGCGTGAAACAGGGGATTACACTGTTTTTAACGGAAAGTGAATCAATTAACGTAATCACTCCTAATATAACTCAACAAACTCAATTATAACACACAAAATTTATATTTCCAGTTATAAAAAAGATTCTCAACCGAAAAATACCCAAAAAATATAGCAATCTTCAGAGAAAATATGCTGAATATTTTTCCTAGCCGATAAATACAACAAAAACAGAGCAATTTAAATACATATATACATCTGAATACATAAATTATATTAATTAAAAAAATATGAATACATTCATAGAATACAACGAGACATGAATACGATGAAATACATGGAATACAACGAGATACATTGAAATACAATGAAAAAAAAGACAATGAACAATGAAATAGATGAAAATATAGCGAGATACATTGAAATACATTGAAATATATTAACAGAAAGTTCAAGTTGCTCAGCCCCAATACTCCGCCGTCTTTGTTCAAGAACAACCCTAATGTCGTCTCGTCGAGAGGGCCGCGATTCTGACTCGAAACGCCATTGTTCCTGTTATCATAATACCCTCACGTGGGCTTCAAAAAGCATATTCTTTACAATTGAAGCCGCCGGAGCCACCGTCATCAGTCCACAGTCTCTACGGCGATGGACATGTGTTTTCCAATTTTTGCATTTTAGTGCAAAAAAGGACTAGAAATTTTCTGGGGGAGCGTTGAATCCTTTGCCTTACTATTTACGAGGCTTGTGAATAAGCTCCTGCAAAATTATTCAATATCTTCAATATCCTCCATTGAAGAGAATGAGAACGAGATGGGGCTGCTGGTGGGTGAGAGATTGGGGGTGGGCAGGTTTTTTTAGGGATCCTCGGCTGAAGCTTTTGGTTAAGGATATAAGAAATTTGAGTGGAGAGAGAAAAATAATACAAAGCTTATTTTATGACTTAAGGGTAGGAGATAACCATAAATAGATATTTGACTATAAAAAATCAAAAGATAGCTATGGAATATAATTTTTTTAAAAGGTATTTATTTAAAATAAATAAGGTATCAACATTTGCATTAGGAGGTAACTGTTATGCTAATTTTCTACTAGGTCACTAAAACGCGGCAGCCATAAGAGAGAATGGGCTTGGTCCACTCCTCCTCATTTAATAATTGTAACCAAAGTTATCAATATACAAAGGGTTGAAAAATTAGCCACTTATATAATATTTCAATTTACATCCCTTATATCTTTTAATTCCTAAATGTTACTTCTAAAATTAGTATATTAAACTATAACTAAAAAGTTACTTCAAAGTTCACTATTAAAATACTGGGTTGTTACATTTGGAGGGTCAAAGCATATAATTTTTCTTTTTCTGGTCTGAATTAAAGTTTTTTTTTAATTTAAAATAAATTTACATATTTGAATAAATGGATAATTAAATATTTGTTCGTTAAAACAATAGACTATAATAGTCAAACCTTGGTAAATATTGTCGGGCTCTAGGGAGGCTACTCTATTTTTTGTGGATTCTCGCAATTCTCCCTTACACCAAAGATGAACAAATTTATATACTAGCACTCAATATTTATGAAAAATAATATTAAGCTACTATAATTAAGCGATTTAATGAAGTGAAAATGTACATTAATTAGGTAAGTGCTACAAGTGTGTTTGCAATCACATGAACTTAATTGGTTGGCTGTGATATTGATTGTCTTATTGTAACAAATCAGAGGATATTATCTTGTAATTTATCTTTTCAGTATATAAAACTAAATTCAATACCTAATCAATAATGTTGTGCAAGACATCTAGTTTGGCATTGACCCTAATAATTTCTCTCTCTCATCAACTACACAGATTTTTTTTTTTTTTTTTTTTTTTTTTTTTAATAAACAAAACTTCTGCCAAACTTTCCCAAAATCATATATAAATACAAACATCGCCGGCGCATCATCGGAGAAATTGCACCTGAACATCCATTTAACGACGAATCGATGTCTACTACCCTTCAAATCACCGTCACTCTCGCGTTCCCCCTCTTAATCTCCCTCCTCACAACGTTACCGCCGTTAATCACCGCTGCCGCAGTCAACGGTAACTCTTCCCTCACCGCTTACGACCTACTCGAGTCCTACGGCTTCCCCGTCGGAATTCTCCCCAAGGGCATCACTGGATACGATCTCGATAAAACCACCGGCAAGTTCAACGCATACCTTAACGGCTCCTGCAGTTTCTCTCTAGAAGGTTCTTATCAACTAAGGTATAAATCCAAGATCAGTGGGTACATAGCTAAAAATAAGCTCACGAACTTATCTGGTGTTAGTGTAAAAGTTCTATTTTTGTGGCTCAACATTGTGGAGGTCGTTAAAAACGGTGATAATCTTGAGTTTTCTGTTGGGATTGCTTCTGCAAGCTTTTCAGTTGACAATTTCTTGGTTTGTCCACAATGTGGTTGTGGACTGGACTGCAATAGTAATGTGAAAATTCAAAAGATTCGAAGCAATCATCTTGTCTCTTCGGTTTAGCTGCATATCAAAGGATGGTTGAGTTTGCTGAAAGAGGTTAGTTCCTGGCTTTCAATATATGGTCCTTGCATGTTTTAGTTCCTTTATCTTGTGATGATTATTTGCTCGTTTGTTCTTAATTTTTCGTTGGTTGGTCATTATATGAGGGAAAGGTCAACGATGAACACAAGTTGTTTTTCTTAGATGCTTAGTATCAATTTGTGGTGGAGCACTCGAAATTTCATGAAAATTGGTATGTTTTTAGGTTATTTGATGAGTGACATTGTTATGATTGAAGGATTTTCTTTTTAGCTTTTGATATTCAATTAACTAGCTAAAACCGTCTTCTGTTAGTTGAATACCGCGTGTTACCAAGTGTGATGCAAAACCTACTTATCAGAAAAAAAAAATGGTCTGTTGGAAAATTTCGATTCTTCCATCAGCAGATAGGCATGGCTTAAAATAAATCTGATCAGTATTTAATGTACCATCCAATACTATTCTATGATGACCTCTTCTTAGGTGTGTACCTGAAAAAGCGATTTCATTTTGTCTAATGTTTGATGGAAAGCAGGGTAACTCCTTACAGTTTCTTGTTACCTTGAGAAGCGAATGAGTGCTTCTTTCTGGCGGTCCGGCATTTAAAAGAAAATCTGTGTTTCCTCCTTCNTTGTGTTAGAGTGTTATCAATAGAAAATTGACCACTTCCATTTTTGACTGTCTTTCTGTGAGGTATCTGCATGTGAGGTACCTGCATCTGTATGCTGATCAGAAGGTGCTCCATTCTACAGCAGATTACCCAGTTGGATTTTCCATGAATCTGTGAAAATGATCTATGAAGCTTTAATTGCTTGCCCTCAAAGTCATCTGTAGTAGTGTGAGCATTGAAGTTGATAGTGATTGCCATGGTTGTGCTCTGTAATGACTTTCTGTGTACTAGTGTGGGTTATGGCAATTCTCTAACAAGGTCAATGTCTCAATATGTAGCGGCCTGAAATTAAATGAAAGAATCCAATTTGATAGAATGAAGATAAGGAAAAGGAACAAAAAGAAAGGAGCTTGATCTCTATCTTTGATGACAGAATATATGCAGACCATGCCCCTTCTTTGTTAGCAAGGCACAAAGATTAATAATTATATGTTGTCTGGTTTTGGAGAGAAAACATGGTCCAATTATAGAGTGATATAGTATCACTGCATATGTTTGATATTTTTTTTTAGGATTGTTCTAGGTCTCATTTTAACTGGTGGAGAAACAACCC